TGATTTTGCTCTAAACCAAACAAACAAACATGAAAATTTGACGATTATTTATTTTTATAGGAACACACTGAACACGTTGACTTTTGTTGCAAAAGTTTATAAGCTATTCTATATTTTAGATAATAATGCCATTCGGTGGCTCATCGGAGAGTCTAGAAGCTTATAACGCTTAATATCGGGTTTCGTTACCTGCCATGGACACATCACAGATATCCAACTTGTGAAGCATGGTGCCTAACAACAAAAACAAATAATTAAATAATAACAAAACATATTTGTTGAAGAGCTCTCCTGTGGTTCAGCTGTAAATCTGAGGGCTTAACTAAAAATCTGGTTTGATACCCATGGTTGATAGAGCATAGATAGTTCATTGTATAGCTATGTACTTTACACCGAACAAAGAAACAAAAGTAAAAACTATCTTATTATTATTTTTGTACTTGCATGTTATTATATAACGAAATAAAGATACAGAGAGTATTTTTAACACTGACTTTAATCATGTTTTTGTTATTGTTAATCAAAATAGTTATTCTTAACATTAATGTCCCCCGGTGGAACATCGGTAAATCTATGGACTTACCACCCTAAAATCCAGGGCTCGATGTGGCTTTGCTTTAAAAATACAAAACAAAATAAACATTACTACTACTACTACTACTAATAATAATATATGTATTTATTTATTTTTTATTGTAAGTAATTTTATACGAGATGTCGCTTTAATCTTTATATTATACAGTTTTCCATGTGAGAAGTATTGAGACTATGAAACTTGAGAAATAATTTTTATGTGCAATGTATTACATGTACCAAGATTTTAAGATAAACAACAGATTTGCGTTTCTAACATAAAACTTGTTATTTATTTATATGTATATTAATTTACGTGCAGTAACTTTGTTGATGTTTTTTAAATTTTAAATTAAACCTAAAATGCTTTGGAAAACGAGGATTCCGGTTGAGCTGTTTTTGACGAGAACTTGTTCCTGGAGAAGAAATAGCTTTCAACTGAATTTAAATATTAAATGGTTACGTGAGGTAGGCTTTCACACGTTGAATTTTGATTTTAATGAACATGTTTTTAATTTCTGAGGTTCTTCTTTATCTGCCTTGAGCTTGACAATCAACTCATTGTCTTGCGTTATATTGTAAATTATAGTTATATCACTGATACGCACTACTTGTTCGATATTAATTTAGCTTAAAACTTTGTATATGTGTATAACACGTCCAGTTTACTCGTACCACAGTTCTGGAGCCAAAATAAAATTAATCTGGATTTTGTTTCCTGGTTTCCCTTGAGTACTAGGGACACCATGTTTGACATTATGTTCTGAACTGAGCACTGCCTTGATGACATCAATGACTTATTTACTATTATCTTAAGATCCTGTTCTTTATTCATGGTTTTGAGTATAATGCAAAATATAACCCCAAAGTATTACCTTGTACTTATTATAATTAAATGGTCATTTACAGACTATTTGTCCAGTTTACCAATTGATCCAGGTCATTGTATAGTGCTTCAATGCCCTCAGTACAGATAGAAATACCAACGACTTTATAATGTCATTAGCAGTCTTTTATAATTTATTAATTAGGATCTAGCACTATCATTAATATAAGTTTTGAAAAGCAAAAGCACTTAACCCTAAGTAATCAATGGCAATAGTAACAAAGGTCCAGTTGGACTGGACTACACCAATGATTTTTTGCCTTCTTTCACCTGGCCATTCTTAATTTCAGTTAAGTGATCTTTTCCTAATCCTCAATGATGGTTTCCTAAGCTGATTTTCTGTGTTTTACTTCATTAAAAATCTTTTGAAAACCTTGAGGACATCAATCCACACACACTTTCTATCATCCAGATATTAAGTAATATCTTAAACAATTCAGTAAATTTATAAGGCAGATTTCTGTTTAATAAATTCATGATGGCTCTTTTTTATATATATTTCACTGAATCATTTTGGAAAGCTTTTATCATATTGTATAAACGTTTTCCTATTACAGAAGTAAGACTAACTAGCCTATAATTTTCATGGCAACTCTTATCACCCCATTTAAAAATAGGACTAACTTTAGTAAAGTTCTTTCTATTCTAATCCTCATACGCTGTTGTTTATTGTCCTATCAGAAATGAAGCAGGGAGACTGGCATATTTTATCTTTGACCTACTTTAAAATTGGGAAAAACATCTGGTTGTGGTGTTTCATTTTATTTTTATCATAAAAGGATTACTATGTACATGATTCAGATCATTTCCAGTATTTTCTGTAGAATGCTCAAAATTGGGAATACTGCAAACATCCTTTCTTGTAAGAACAGAGCATTTAAATAATCAACAATTTTGTACTTCAATAAAAACTTTAAATCACCATCCTTTATGACTCCAATCTCCATATTGCTTACATTTAAAATTCTTAAAAAATTCCTTTTTGTTTGTTCTAATGTTATCAGGTAATTATTTCTCATATTTATTTGATTTTTTTTCTAAGCTAATTGGAATTGATCTTGTTTTATCCATTTCTTATTTTTAGAAACATACCTATTTTAAAAGCAATCCATTTTTAGAGATTTCTCAAATTTCTCCCATGTAACCCTTCAACTCATTATTTTAGTTCATGAAGGTTAAATCTTATCTCATAATTAGCTTTCTGAAAATTAGGAACTAAAATGTACTTTTTCATGATTTTAACATTTATCAAAATATCAAACCTAATTATGCAATGATCACTTTTCCCTAATGTTTCCCCAATTTAAATCTTGTAACCGTATCATCAATATTGGTTAACAATAAATTTAAAATGTATACTTATTGGTAGTTCTCTAACTATAAGATATAGCACACCATCTTACATCCCATCAAAGAAGCCTCTCTCCCTCACTACTTGACTTGTATAACCTAATCACCTTGTCTAAGATTAAATACTTCCATGATTTTTGCACTCTTATTAGTAACAGTTCTGATCTCATCATATACTTTTCTCACTGACATCATCTATCTGATCCAGTAGGCCATAATTTTCAAATTAAAACTTTCCACCCTTTAGACCCTTGATTGTAATTTCCCCAAAAAGGCTGCCTAGAGGGGTCACCTGTTTTAACCACTCACACCTCTATACAGTAGTGTTTTGTCTGTTAGTTAGTCAGTAGACATTAAAATGACATCAGTAAAATGTGTGCATGCCATGAATCATGATAAGAATTATTCACTCTATAGGCTACAACTCAGCATGACATATGAACTTCAAAAACAAGAAATAAAAATATTTGTTACTCTTAATTTTGGTTTTATTTTCTCTTGAAAAAGAACACTTTCGGGGACCATGTGGAAGTACATCTAGTCTATTTAAAATTAACATTTTCAGCCTCAGCAGGTTGCATCTTATCTCAAGAGTTACTTCACAACTTTTTTTTTGAAAGTTTACAAACTGTTATTTAACTTTTATGCTCTGAATCTGTTTTCCAATTCCTTAATGTACTTAATTTTCCATAATCACTGAACGTTATGCAAATTTAGTTTAAATAAGGTTCAATGAAATTATTTCGAACTTCCCCAAACATTCTGCTGCCTAGTCTGCTTAAATGGAGCTCATTTCTAACATACAATTCATTTTTACCCTGTCAACTGTTACACATATCCAATCAGCCTACCTGTTACTCTAAGCATGAGCTGAATCTCAAAGTAAACTACTATTTTTTTGAAAAGATGAGCATGAAAATAGGAAACATTTTGCATGATACCTAATTTATTTTTCATGAAAAAGGTTTATTTAATGAGATGATGGGAGCTGTTTTAAATATCAAATATCTTTTTTATAGGTATATGATTGTAAGTGGCTACATCTAACTTGATTTGTTTATCTTATAGTGGTTAAGAAGTAAAAGGGTGATCTCATTGAATGGTGATGAGTTACCTTGCTTTTTCTTAAGTTCCTAACTTGTTACATTTTCTCAGTGTTGTTAAGTTACATTAACATTAATATCAAAGTAAAATAATGAAATTACTTTCGTCACACAATACACACATTTTTTTTTGTTAAAATTACATGTTTTTCTAACTTTTAGATACGACTTTTGGTATTTCAGGGAGTGCAAACCTGTATTACTATTTATGAACATTTATAAACATTTGTGATTGTTGAGAGGTAATATTGTATCAACATTGTTTAAAATTGTTTTTTAATTTCAGATCCTTCAAGCATGCTATGCAAGTTCATCTAGTACAGTAAGTGATTTTATAATATAACATTTTGTTTTAGCCAATTTAGAGTGATAGTTTACCTGATCAGTTGTAACTTATAAAGAAAATTAAGAAAATGTTTGTTAAAACATGAGTTCATTGTAAAGTCATTCCCTATTTTAGGCACCGAAATAATAAATTTAAATAAAAACATGTCAAAATTTATGCATATAAGTTACTATTGATTTCTTTCCTTAATGTAAAGCACTTGATGGTCTTGTGTGTGTATTATTTCATTCCATACGTTTTATTTTGCTTGATATACATTGCTTCTACTTTCACTGTTTATTTGTCATCATAAGTTAGTGCTGTATCCCAAAACTAAAACTTCCAACAGTGTCACTTAAGTTAAAGTTATTCAGTTTTAAGGATTATCAGCACATGGAGGTATTACATTTATGTTTTTGTTTTGTAAACTGATACCAGACACTGAAGACAACTTTAGTTTTAGATATAGCTAGAAAATTGAACACGTTTAAACTTCTGCTGTAGAAGTTTTGGATAATGTTTTAAGCTACTGGCATGGGTCTTCATCATGTCAAGTTGGCTGAGTTGTGTTATTAAAATGTTGTTGACATTCAGCAATAATTGAGAAATGGGTGAGTGGAATCCTGAAGCATGTTAAAAAAAAAAAGTTTGAGCTGTAGATGATGGTTTGAACCAAGAAAGGTGTAAGCCTCATTTAATAGAAGTGACATCATCAGAACTGGAGTTTATGTTGTGTCAAGGAAAGCAATCCATGTTGGATTGAAATCTATGACTTGTTCATGGTTTAGGGATAGTTGGTGTAATTAAACATTTTGGTTTACCAGCATTGTGAAGAGATGAGTGTTTGTCATTGGTTTCATTTGATAACAGTGTGCATGCTAACGCTTGATTTTTTTTTTAAGTTCTTGAGATCCAACCACTTGGGAAAAAAATGGAATACCTTTTTTTGAACAAAACATAAACACATCAGGATTTTTAATTTTTTCATTTATTACTTACAACTATGGTAATGTTTAATCATTTTCGGCATTGCATTGTTTGGCCGATGATGTTTTATTGTAATCTATACAATGGTGAATGGAATTAAAGAAGTAACATGACAAAACTTTAGTCTGTATTCCTGGGACACATTATGAAGTAATTTTCTCAATCCACTATATTAAAACTTGCATGTTTACTTTTTAATATGAAGTGTGTTAACATGAACACTGGATAATGTCTGATGATGTTTTTGTGTTCTATTAAGGCCATATTTTCTGGATAGGAAAGTTGGGTGACATTTTGATGTTCCTTCATTCTTTGTCTTATTGTCTTGTAGACCTATTCAATATAGGTTTCACCACAAGTGCACAGTTTTATAGATAACTTTCTTTTGTTTATCTTTATGTATCAGATTTTGGTACACGTGTTTCTTAAGGGTTTGTTGGATCTGAAGTATCCTTGTATGACTAACTTCATGCATATCCAGTTCAGTTCGTAACTTAGTTTAAGCATGAATGTTAAAATAGTTGTTGAAAAAAGTGTCAATCGAGAGATCCTATATAATTTTCTCATTTCTAATTCAACAAATCTTTTGAAGTGTCACTGGAAATTGTACACTGTCATTTGCAGTTGGGAAGCCAAGTATATCACTAACAATACTTGTGAAGTGCAATTCATTTTACATTATGTATCACTGAACATGTCATTCGAAGTAAGAAAGACCAAACTTAATCTTTTTTATCATTTAATCTTTTGAAGTTCAGTACATTTCACACCATGTACTAATGAACATGCCATTTAAAACCTCAGCTACTTTCATTTGTGTGTTATTGTCAAGATGTACTAATTACAAATAATTCTGCTATTTTAGATTGTTGAAGCATCACATAAGGCAGTCAAGCTAAAGAAAATGTGTATAGTTTTGTCAATGATGTTTTTGTATGTTTAATAAATAAAATCCATTCATTTGTTCTGATCATCTAGTGATAATGTTTATGCAAAAAATAACAATTTTTAACTCAAGTAAAATTAAAGTTACTTTAGATCCATGGAGGATTAATAAACAAGAGGGAATCCTCAATAACTGTGACACTGGAAGTGTTTTTAGGCAGGATTAGAGTAAATTAATCTATGAGACCTTTGTTTCCCTTTTTATTAGCTATATTTTTTGTGCACCAGCAATACCAAAAGCATGGGGCGTGCATATACCTTAATCAATTTTATTACTCATCAGGATCTCTACCAGCTTACCCTTAAATTGAAATTCTTTTAGGGAGGATTAGAATGAATTTATCTATGAGACTTTGGGTGTGGTTAAATACCTCAATCAAAAGGGTTTGACTTACTAAGATAAACTGTACTTAGTTCTCAAAATTGGTCAAGAGATGATGGAGTTATGATATAAAAGTTTGTACCTGAAAAAATCTGGATTGGGGACTTTAGACCATTCAGTGAAATATATTTTCTGATATGGTACTTCCTTCCTCTTGCAAGATCAGCTATTCTCATCTAGTGCTGCCCTCTATAAGCAATTTTTTTCTTTACATATACAACAAGCTTTCTGCTCCCCACCCTTATTGGAATAGAATGATTCCAACATTTCTCTCATGTAAATCATCATGCATCACTTCTCCACCAAAAGGAGCGTGACATACGTGACTCCTTCTATATACCTCTACTAAACTATCACTTCTCATTTGGCTTGTGCTCAGATGTTTTTTTTGTTTGTTTAACGTTCATCTTTAGTATACTTACGAAGTGGTCTTCATATATTTTCACTCCTAGTTTCTTAACTTTACTTTAATCCCAGTTTATTACAGTCACATTGTTATTTATACTTTCAATTATTGGTTGACTCTTCCTCATTATGAATTCCAAAGTTCATTTTACCACTTTGGGGGTCACAGCTGCGGGGGATTTATCCACGTTTATTCACCAGGAGATTGAACGTTACATGGGTTAACCTCTCTCTCTCCAGACCTTGCTCCATATCTTCCCGAACAAGCTGAGCCTGTTCAGGCAGACAAGGACTCTAATTGTCTATTTCCACCTCCTGATTTTGCCGTGCCTTCCCATGTCCCGCCTGAGGAGTCAGTTAGGCCTAATATGGTCTTTTTGGATTTTGTTTCTCAGGTATCCCTTTCCCCTATTTCCTGTGAACAGTGTCCTTCTTTATTACATGACCAATCTTCCCAAGGAAAAGAAAGAAGCATCCTAAATAGGAATGCACTGGTCCCTCCACCTATTGAATGTGGGATTCTAGCTATTCATGTGAGTGAAGGTTAATGTACCGTATCGGAAGTTATAATTTTCTTATACTGAAAATGTATTTCCGATAGGTACTTACCTCCTCTCATACTTCCCACTCTTCCTCCCCACTGAAAACCGGTGCTTCCATTTTCTGCCAAAACTTGAAGTGATAGTCAGGTAGAATTGAATAGAGGGAGTCACATGCGTAATAAGAGTATGTCACACTCTTATTGGTGGAGGGTTGTCTCATGATGATTTGCATGAGAGACGCATTTGAATTAGTCATTTCCAATGAGAGTGAGAAAAAAGGCTTATGATATGCTTAAAATGTTTTTGCTTATAGAGGGCAGCACTGAACAAAAATAGCTGTTTGTATGAGAGGATGTAAGTACCTATTGGAAATACATTTTCAGTATAGAAAAATTATAACTTCAGAGGTTGGTGAAAGTAGTTTTTCCTATAATGCTTACTTATTTGTCTGTGTTATCATTGATAAATTTATAAGAAATTTAATTTGAAAATATTGTATGGAATCAGAGGAACTCAATCAAGAGATATCAGTATGCACTTTTGTTTTGGGAAGAGAAATTTCCAAAAAATAATTATTCTGTTGATTTTATGTTACGGACACAACATTCAGTAATGGGATAAATAATTGCAGAAAAAATTATGACACATTGAAGTACCCTACATGGGGATGAAATATACCAAGTATGAAATCAGAGCCAAAGCTAGTTAAAAAAAATATGGTTATTCAAAGATACGTTATGGCAGGGACAATTTTTTGGACAATGGCTTTTTTATGGAATAAAAATTAACATAAGAATTTGTCTTCTCAGTTAATTGCTGAAAAAATTTTAACATAATGTCCTGGTTCAAGTTGAATGTATTTGCAGTAAAACATTGACAGCCTCATCATTTGAGCCTTAGACATTTTAAGTGTTATGGACAGGACATATTTTGTTACCAAAATTTATAACATTAAAAATTGAAAAACATGCACTTACATGACAAAATGTTAACTTCATCATCCAATTTTTGCTGTATGGAATAGCCTTATTGTTGTTCTTTGAACTGTCGTTAATAAAGGCTAGGCAAATATTTTATATTTTCTAGAAATTTCTGGTGTTTTTATGAATCTTAATGAAAACTGACAAAATTTTTACAATTTTTTACTTTTTAGCAATATATTTCCATATAAGCTCAATGTAAGATTATCATTTGTATCACTTGGGGTGGGCAGTAAATGTTTGAATCAGTCAGTGTTAGAAGTATACTTATAAATAATGCAGATCTCTCTTTGTAGGCCATCAAATCTTCTGCATATTACACATGTGACACGGTACAACTTTTTTTGAGATTCAGTCAAATATATATATATATAAATGTTACACAGAGTTTTACAATGGTGTTAAAGATTCTATTTAATAACTTTTGATTTACTATTTACAGAGTGTTTGTAGTATATTGTTTCTTCCCATTTCCAACAATAAATAGTTTGTCTTTATAATAGCTGCAACCATGTTTCTCTGGCATTAATACAACAGTTTTTTATCTTATCATGTATTACTTCATTTATGACTATTTTTACTAGAACTGTGTGTATGTGTGTAAATTAAACAATTGTAACTAGGTTTTTTAATATATATTTTTGAAATAATTCATGTGGTTGTTAGCATTGTTTTTTTTTTATATGTAGGAACACAAAAGTTTGGAAAACATCCGAAATATTGGCATCTCAGCCCACATTGATTCTGGAAAGACAACCCTAACAGAACGATTGCTATTTTATACAGGAAGAATTTCAGAGATGCACGAGGTATGTTAACCTGGTGTTTTCAGAGGTGAAATAAGGATGCAGAGACTGAGACACTTTAACAGTAGGAAAAGTGCTTGTATGTTCGAGTAAAATTGTAATAACACATACTTAATGTATATTATTTCTAATTTCCTGTTTAAACTTGAAATAATATTGAACATCTAGATATCTTTTTTATATTTGTATTTATTTAATATTTAACCAGTTGTGGTATTCCAAGGTTCAGAGTGAACCTAGCACTCACTCACCTGATCTCCACAATAACAAGATGTTGTGGATCTAGTATTTCAATGGGTATTTGGTAGTGATTTGTTGTAAGTGGAAGGAAATAGATAAGATTTCTCTTTGAGGATGAAACAACAACAACAAAAATTTATTGGCAAGAAAACAGCAACAAAAAATAGAAAAATAGCCTGACAATGACCATCTAATGGCAGAAGCTGGTAATGTAGTACCTGATAATGGTTAAATAGAATGAAGGGATGTATTTAAAGAGAGGAAAGCATAAGTTGAACTCTAAACTGAATTTGAAGCGGTGTATAGTTAAAATGGAACATAGAATATGCCCAGTTAACTGTTAAACAAAACATAATAAACAAGATGAGATTTTGACATCAAGTCTTGACTCTGCCTAAATATGCAGTTTTGCTGTTGGTTTCAGCAACTGTGATAGTTTTATTGAAAATCAAAATTGATTGTTATGCAAGGGAAAGTATTTTTGCACAACAGAAACATGTTGTTAGGTTAAAGCCTAGATACACAGTGGAACAATCACTGTAGTCTAGTTTTTTTGCTATCAAAAGGACCTTTTCCATGTGATATTTAAAAAAAAATGTTTCTCTCACAATCCAAGTTGAATATTAGTTTATAGACTGATAAAGTAATGTATTAAATTACATTTCTTGAAATAGGAAGTTTTTTTTATTCAGCTGAGCTTGGATTAAGTTAAGTACACATCTAGGGAATCACTGATGATGCAAAAATTCATATTGGAGGAACTGGTAATTGACTATTAAATACAAATAAATCAATCTTTTAAGCAACAACAGGCACTTAAGAGCTAAGCAAATTACCATTAACTAGGATACTATATCTGAAAAAAATGCTTGTTAGCTGGAGAGTGAGAATAATATTAGCAAGATTAGAAATTATTAGTACTCTTGCTAAGTCTGCTTTATTATGTGAAAACTGTCACCTGAATTTGTAGATGAATAACAGACAGATAGTTTTTGTGTGTCTTATAAGTAAGTTATATTCCATTCTTTCTTCAATGTTATCTGTAGTTTCATTGACAGTATTAGTTAAATATTTATATATTTTATTATATTTCATTTATCTCATAAATATGTATTTATATTTTAAATATGAATATTACTCTGCATAATTGGCTTAGTAAATGGATTTAGGGCTAACATAAATTTTCTAAGGTATTGTGAGGTATTATTGCCAAATATATTTGTAACTGCATGACATGCAACTGATGAATCAGTGCATTCTATTCACTACAAGTTTTAGTTTGACCTTGCATCCTCCTAGTTAAACTGTCATATTAAATTAGCTACATTATTTACTGGGTTAATTTTTAGATCTAATCTTTATAGATAATTGTCATCCACTGGTGCCACAAGTAATATAAGTTAAGAACTGGCTCTATAGCTTTTCATACATAGAAGGTATTTAATTTTTTAACTTAACAGAGTTAACTTGCTTTGATCACAGTTTATTGATAAATATGGTTGCTTGTCAGAGAAGCAATAATTTATCTAGATCAGAGAGTTACTAGGCCCTACATATTCAAAATTATTCACAAAATTTGGCAAACTTTTAGTTTGTTGTAAATAAAAAATTTGATTTTTTAATAAAGCATTTCTACTGAAGATTTTTCTATGAATTTATGAAACTTATACTGAGTGAAGGTGATTTTTTATGCTAAGAATAAAAATACTTTTTTCATCTTACAGTGTTTATAGTTCATTTCTGTTGCCTTTAGAACCTTCCAATTGAATTTCATAAGTTTTTCACTAAAACTGTATAATTTATCTCATATTCTCTATCCTGACACTAACTGTAGTGAAATTGTTGCTCTTTGAGTCATGTCTAACTACCTGGTGGGACAGCAGAGTAAAAAAATGGTTCATATTACATCATGCACTTCTAAGCTGCAACAGTTACATGAGGAATGATGATTAAATAATTTATTTTTTTCATTTAATATTTTTTTATCTAACTTAAGTTTTTATTTTTAAATTTAAATTTTTTTTGTTTAAAAGTATACAATGATAACTAAAAAATACACATGAAAAAAGAAACTTAAAACTTACTGTACCTCTAGTCTGTTTTACATTTGCTCAAAGACCATGCTTACTTTTGTAACCTTAGCTTTTCGTACTAAGTCTGTTATCCAAAAAATAATTAGCTTCCAAATACAAATCTTAGAAAACCAAAAACATATCACTCACTAGATTAGATTGTATGATAACTACTGTACTTCATCTGGCTTTCTAAATAATTAACCATAAATATTTTAAAGATATATCCATTCCAAAACATGCTTACCTCTTCTCAAACTTTAGCTTTATCCCAACGAAAGTTTCTCTTCCTTGCCCATTTAAGCATTGGTATGAATCATACCTTGCTTACTCATACAATTGCTATGGGCAATATAGTGAGGTATAAAGACTGGAGTAAGCGAGGTATAATTCACACTAATGCTCAGGTGGGCAGAGAAGAAAACTTTCATTGGGATAAAGCTAAAGTGAGAGAGGATGTAAGTATTATCTGAAATACCTTTTCAGTACAGGAAAATGTAAACATATTGCAATGACTTTACTCAACACATTAAACTTTTCTTGTGGACTAGTGTCTTTATCTGCCAAAACTATATACAAATATACCTAAGATTTTTGGACATTACTATTTACTCTTTTTTTTTTACTCTAAATATGATCATTATCAATGTCAGAGAGAATGATAGATATTTCTTAAAAAACAGAAGGTATGAGAGTGGCATGTTAATATGGGTTAAACAAATATAGTGGTGTCTCAGAAAGCAAGAATGTAAGAGGTTGAAAATTTATATTCTAACTTGTCAGTATCTGTAAAATGTGTTTCTTATTGGTTGATCAATCAGAAGTGCTTGTAAGGGAAGAGAAAATATCTATAAATGAGTAATCACAGCACCACCAAATTGTGTGGCTCTGAGTATTGCAGATTGATGATTTATTTAAGGTAAGAAATTAAAACTTGGATATAATAGATATTTACAATTTAAATTAATTTTTATACCAAGCTTACTGACGTACCTTGATAACAGAGTTATCTAATTAAACTTTGAATGTAACTCTGTAAAAGGTCATGATGAGCACTTTCACCCCTCCCTTATTTAAAAGGTCAACAAGATTATTACTGAAGCCCAGGACTGAAAAACCTGAAATAATCCCAGCAACATTTAAATAGCAAGCAGCATCAGACATGTACACACACACACACACACATATCAATTGCAGTAATGAATCGTAGTCCAAGAAGAATAATTTTGTGTGCACAATACCACTTTTAGTAACAAATTTGGTGACAGCACTTATTGCATATATTTGATGAAAATTGAAATTACTGTTTTTGTAAAAGGCTGATTATAATGTGGAAACAATTTCCATTAGCCTAGTAATTTATACATTGCCTACTTTGGGTGCCAGAATTGTACCAAAATTGTTCATCAAATCTTAAACTAAAACTGTTGTGTTGCCACAATAATAAATATAGAATCAATGTTTTGATTATACATATGTACATGAGTGTGATATATTTTCTCCCACACCAAATGAAAACATTTAATTTTTTTCGGAGCTAAGAAATTTGTTTTTTATTGATTCATTGAAATGAAGTCATGTGCTTGCTAATTTAAAAATAAAAACAGACATTAATTTTTTAATGCATTACTTACTCCTATGGTGTATTGAATTATGGCTCAAGTAGTAGAACAAGCACGCAAGTAACAAAATAATTGAGTTTTCATGTCTCTCAGATTTTTTATACAGAATGCATGAATTTTCTTGTTTAACTTTTGAGTGATGTTTCAGAATTTCCTTTAAGTTAGAGATATTTGTTTTAAAACAGTATATACTGCATTAAGAGGTTTTGTTTTCACCTTTGAGACTTTGTCCAATTTTAGTTTCCATAAAGAATCTTGTAAAAATTTGGTTTTAGCCTTAGAATATGATGCATTAAGCTTTCTGCAGAACAACAGTATAACTTAGTAAGTTCACCTACCAATTTTGCTGAAAACTGGCTTTTGTTCTTTGGTTTTCTGCAGTTACATTTCATGACCCTCTTTAAAATGTAATTTTTGCTGTTCTCAAAATTATGCACACCCATCTTTTACAAAGCTTCTGCTTGGTCATTTACTATATATAAAAGAAAATAACTTAAAATTTTTATTTTTGACATATGTAACTTTTATTGTTCATAGTACCACAGTCTCTCCTAACTGTAGTCAGGGTTCTATGCTGCAACTATTATTATGAGCTTGTTATATTTAAATAAAGTAAATCAAGTTTGAACATTAAGGCTGTCATGTCTACTATTTTAGCTAGTGTAAGACCTGGATTTAGTTTTTAGGTTGTATTTAACTGCTTAAAAGTTATGTAAGCTAAATTTTTTCTGATTGGCATATTTCTATTGAAATTGATCAATATACAGGTAAGAGGAAAAGATAATGTAGGAGCTACAATGGATTCTATGGAGCTGGAACGGCAGAGAGGAATTACCATTCAGTCAGCAGCAACATACCTTTTGTGGAAAGGATATAATATAAATGTCATTGACACTCCTGGACATGTAGATTTCACTGTGGAGGTGGAGAGAGCTCTTCGAGTGTTAGATGGGGCAGTTTTAGTGTTGTGTGGAGTAGGTGGAGTTCAATCCCAAACGTTAACTGTTTGCAGGCAGATGAAACGTTACAATGTTCCATGTATTGCATTTATCAATAAATTAGATCGTATGAGTGCTAGTCATCACCGGGTTATTTCTCATTTAAGGTTAGTTATGACAATACTATTAAAATTTAAAGATGAGAATTCCACTTAGTATTGTAAACAGCCTTACAGTGGAAATTTTTAGGAAATTAAAACATAGCCCATAGAAATGGGCTATCTTCAGATAATGTTTGAATAACAGCAGTTATAAAGTTGATTCAAATTACTAATAAAGCATAAAACATAACTATTAAACACCAGTATTATTAATTTTATTCTTAATAATGATATACTTTGTATTTTCAAAGTAACAAATTTTTTCCTTCAAGTCATCGTCAAATGATAGATCTTAGAAGGTTAGCAATTATTTCAAGTATGATAATATGTTTTATGTGTAGTAATTAGCAAGTCATTAGATTTGACTTAATTCACAATAAATTTTTGTAATTGGATTCTTTTTTTTTCATCCAGTAGCGTGCTAGCATTTTTGGTTTAGAAAGTTTCTCAGCTCTTTCTTTTGGACTAGTGTTAAAAATTAATGGAAATTTCTAGATTTGTGTCAGTTGTAACGTATGGAATAGTAAAAATTGAATGGTTTTTAGTTTTTTCTTAAAATATAAATATTAATAGTGAGTCGATAATAACTTAATTTTTGAAATATTAAAACTTAAAATGATGATTTTGCAATTATCCATCTTCATGTGTTAAGAGTATTAAGTGTTTTAAGTGTTCATTTTTTTTCAGGTCAAAATTAAACTTTAATACCTCACTGCTTCAACTTCCTATTGGATTAGAGAGTAAACACACAGGTGTTGTTGACCTCATCAAACGTAAATCTTTATACTTTGAAGGAAACTTTGGGTAAGGTAACATTGATATCATTTTAATAATTATATCCTATATATATCTTTCACTGTTGAAAGAGTTCAGTTTATTATAGTTTGAAAGTCATGAATATTATTAATATACTATCTAACCTATTTAAAAGTCAGTGTGTGTCAAGTCGCATCACGCTCAATTTCTCTTGAATTCTTGAGATAGGGGGGGTCATAAAAGCCAAAATGCATTTATCCAGATTGAATAGTTCAATTACTGTCTGCCCATTATGAATTTAGTGACGGTGGTGCAAGGGGGCCGTAAGGGTGGTTCCTTGAAATTTTATAAGTGTAGTGAGTGTTGATATAATAAACTTAAAGACATAGTGTGTGATCATCTAGCCTAGAGCAAAGTGCATAAAATTTATCAT